CTATCTATCTATCTATCTATCTATCTATCTATCTATCTATCTATCTAGAGCTCTTAGAGACCACACATCACCTGCAACATTCCTGATCACTGGCAGAGAAACTGACCTAAACCACACAGTGGAAAAGTCACCACCACCATCTTTCTTTCTTCCTTCCTTCATTTATTTATGAGACAGGGTTTCTCTGTAGCCTTGGCTGTCCTGGACTTACTTTGTAGACCAGGCTGGCCTTGAACTCACAGAGATCCACCTGCCTCTGCCTCCCTGGGTGCTGCGATTATAGGTGTGTGCCACCACCCCCTGGTTCATACTTAAGTTGTACTCTTGGCTTTATGATACCTAAGGTATATATTCAGATGCTGTTTCTTATGAAAGCATGTTTTATTTTCTTCTGAAATATCATGAGAAATATTTCTTCCATTTCTGAAGGAAATCAGCCAAACATTAAAGACAGAGCAAACAACAGTGAAGGCTATGAACACTGAAATAAGCACACAACAGATGAGGAAGAAAAGAAGCTTATCTTCCTTCTGAAAGCTTGAGGCATTCCCAAAGCATTCAGAGAAAAGAATCTGGTAGGTGGTTTAGGTAGGTGTGGGTGTATCCATAGAGAGGGCAGGTAAATAGAAAATTAAAATCAAAACATTGAGATGTTTTTACCCCACAGGTAGAATCTGGCTGATGAGTAGCTTCAAAGAATCTCTTGTTTTCATTTACTTTATTCCACAGGTATAATTTCTCAACAACCAATAATTTTGTTAAGAGTAGGGGTCATAGACCAATTTGATTTAAAAAGTGGTTGAATCTTAGGTATTATGTGAACTAAGGATGAAGTGATAACTATCTTACGCTACTTTTAATCTTTTAAAACATATTTACTTGTGTGTGCACCTACAACTGTGTTGATAAGGAGAACAGAGGACAGCCCTTGGGAGTAGATTGTTCCCTCATCATCTGGGCCCCAGGAATTGAGCTCAGGTCCTCAGGCTTGGCAGCAAATACTCTTCCAGCTGAGCCATTTTGCTGGCTCCAATCTTTAGTCTTTTATTTTCAAACTTGATATATCATGTGGGTGTGGTGGCACATACCATAATCTCAGCCTCTTGGAAGGCAGAGGCAGGATGGTTTTAAGTCAAAGGATTTCACGCAGGTGTGGTGGTGTCCTAACACAGTTCTCTCCACTATTGCTAGTTCTTGCTGCTTTCTAGTCTTCCTAGGCAGTCACCCTCAGAGTACACTTAAATATTTGCAGTGAATGTTTTTTAAAGAAGTGCTGCTTGTTGCGTTGTGTCATTTCTCTATGTTGTAATACCTTTTTTCAAGAAAAAAAAATACTAAGAGCTGAGAATGTTGGTTCATGCCTATAATCCAAGAGGATCATGTGTTCAAGGTGCCTGGGTTACATAAAGACTGTTTAAAAAAACAAAACAAAACAAAAAAAAACATGCAGGACAAATTTCTAGGTCAACTTTCTTATAAAAGAGTAGGCAGTTAAAATGGAGCACTTGAATATAGTTTCTGAAAATACTTAATCACATTAAACTTGAGTTAAAGTTATTTGTCTTTTATACACAACTAAATGACACCAGAACTTCCAAACAGCAAGTACATGATATAACATCTTCCACTTACATGATTTACCTAAAAAGAAACAAAATAACCCTGTGATCCAATTTCAGATTTCTTTTTTCTTTTAAAAAGTGTGGTATAGAAAAAGAAAAAGGCTGGAGGAAACCTTAAATAACTTGGGATCAAATACACAAATCAATATAAAAAAAAAAGGCAGATCATTTTCAAAGAAATGATAGTTTAAAATTATATAATTCCTTAGACAAGGTGCTTCATATGATTGCTTAACAGGCATTCATCTATGTAAATAAATGTGGCATACAATGTAAGCACTTTGAACAACCAAATACCCAAGAAAAATCTCTCCTGTTATCAGTTCTTGGACTTGTAGGGAGAGTAGAGAGAAACTGTAAGGGGTCCTATCATAATATTACATACAGAAAGTCACATACTGATCTTAAGGAGTGATATTAAGACGTTAGCTATCAGGATTAACTGAGAAAAGGAAAAGCTCACAGAATCTATAAAACATTTGAGGCTTAAGTCAAAGAACTGCCCCCAAAATAAGGCTACCTATATGAAAAATAAATATTTTACATGTGGAGAGCAATTAAAAGTGCATGGTTAGAATCTGATTCTTAGCTATTCATGATATTCCAAGAGAAGAAAAAAAAAATCCGGCCAAATTTTATCCTTTGTATTTTCTACCCAAATATCTGCGCCATTTCACTTCTGCCAGCAAACAAGACAGCAGGAAATAATGAAATTTTACATATGTTTTCAAAACAAACTCCAAATCTTAGAAGAAGTCTAATTTCTCCCCTCTGAATGATCCTGCCAGGTGCCACAGATCTCTCTAACCAGCACCTCTGCCGATGTAGTTGTCTTTGCAAAAAGTGCACTTGACACCACTTCATATAGTACAGTAAATATTTAAGTTATCTGAAGTGCATTTGGAAAACAATCGAAAACACAGATTAATACACCATAAAAAGATTAATTCCCTTTAAACAAAGACGTTCTTATAAAGTATGGTAACACAGTAGGCACGATAAAGAATATAAATTGTGTATCAATTATTGGCAGAAAATCTGATTCTTTACAAAGCCCACACAAATGGGGAAGAAGACATTTCATACAAAGAAAAGTATTACACTATTATACAACACTTTTAATTGTACATTTACAAATTTTTGGCACATTAAAAGGAACTGAAAAGACCATAAAGTAAGGGCCAAAGAAACTAAAAGATATAAGAGAGAGAAAAATCCTCACACGAGAAACACTAAATATTAACACAGGAGAGAAATAAACTAAGCTGGCTGAATTTCCTGAAATGTTGTTATATATAACAGAAGTATGCTTTTTAAAAATTCCTCATGGTAAGACCTCTCTACCTTGCTGTGGCTGGCTGGACATGGCCTGGGTAGGATCTTCTTGTGCTGGTTGCTTGTCTTTGCCTAGCTAGAAATGACTGCCCTGAACCTGTGCTAGCCAGTCTGTCTTCAGCCGCCTTTTTATGTAGAGTCATTCCCTATAACATGAGAAGAAAAGCAAAAGTCACCAGTGGAAGCATGGAGCATATGCTTACAAAATAAATGTCATCATGCAGAATTTACTTCAATGAATAGCAAGGCATAACTTATTAAGAATATTAATTCTACTCATTATAGTTTAAAATTTTATGAAATCCATTCATTCCAATAATTAGGTACAAATCTTCCTTTGGAAAAATTATGACTTAATTTTATGAATTTACAACAATCAAAACAATAGATAATGGAGAACATTTTTTAGAATACATCACCTATACTTTCATTTCGAATCAAATAGTGATTTTCCAAGAAAAGTGCAATTGATTGGTAGCAGCTGATTCATACACACCGTGGAAATCACAGAGTTCATCAGAAAGGAAAAACAAGAAGGTGCTCGTTTCTTATGAAGGAAAGCCATTCTAGGTGCTATACATACCACAGCGCTGTTTTTCTTCACTTCAAGGCAGACTTCTACTATCAAACAAACTAAGCAAAGCTTCTGACAACCCACAATAGAGGCACAACCAAGAAGGGGATCTCCCCTTCAAAGCAAAAAGATCACTTACTACCTTTGAAGAGGGGCAAAGTCACCAGCTACACCTAGGCAGGAGGGAGGAAACCTGTAGGGCACTCTCAGAATTTGGAAAAACAGTGAGACATAACAGCACCACTTCACCTAAATCAGAAGACTACAGGAAGCTAGGAATGGGCCAATTTTAGTATTCTTTTAATAAGACAATGAACTAATGTAGCAAGAGAAACTGAGATTGCTGGTTAATCATACCAATAACTTGTATAGTTAGCCTATGCAGAGAAGTGGAGGATGACAACGAAGAAATAATGCACAGAAGACAGGAGACTAAACAATCCATCTTCCAACTTTTAAAAACACTTATTTAAGAAAAATTAAATAATTTATTTAATTTTATTTTATGTGCATTAGTGTGACGGTGTCAGAGCCCTTGGAATTGGCGCTACAGACAGTTGTAAGCTGCCATATGGGTGCTGGGAATTGAACCCGTGTCCTTTGGAAGAGCAGACAGTGCTCTTAACCCCTGAGCCATCTCTCCAGCCCCTATTTTTTTATTTTTAAGAGTTTATTTATTGTTACTTATTACAATTTATTCAGTTTGTATCCTGGCTGTAGCCCCTTCTCTCATCTCCTCCTGGTTCCACCCTCCTTCTCTCTAACCCGAGTATGCCCCTCCCCTAGTCCACTGACTGATAGGGAAGGTCCCCTTCTATCTGACCCTAGACTATCAGGTCTCATCAGGACTGTCTGGATCCTTTTTCTCTTGTGGCCTAGTAAAGCTGCCTCACCAGGGGAGAGGTGATCAAAGAGCAGGCAACCTAGTTCATGCCAGAGACTGCCCCTGTTCCCCTTACTAGGAAACCCCCATGGAGACCGAGCTGCTCATGGGTTACATCTGAGCAGAGGGGTCTAGGTCCTCTCCATACATGGTCCTTGGTTGTGGTCTCTGCAGTATCCCCTGGGTCCAGGTTTTTGGCTCTGTTGGTCTCCTTGTGGAGCACTGTCTTCTCCAGCTCTTTCTATCTCCCCCTTCTTCCATAAGGTTCCCTGCACTTTGCACCAAGTCTGGCCATGAGTCTTAGCAGCTCCTTCAATACCCTGATGGATAGAGTCTTCAGAGGACCCCTGTAGAAGGCTCCTGTCCTGTTCCCTTTCTTCTCCTACTTCTGATGCCTATCCTGTTTGCCCTTCTGAATGAGGTTTCATCCTTTTCCCTAGGGTCCTCCTTATTGTTTACCTTCTTTAGGACTTTAGATTTTAGTATGTTTATCCTATATTATATGGCTAATATCCAGTTATAAGTGAATATATATGTTTCTCTCTGCTTCTGGGTTACCTCACTCAGGATGATCTTTTCTAGTTCCATTAAAAAATGGGGTACAAAAAATGGGGTACAGAACTAAACACAGAATTCTGAACAGAGAATTCTTGAATGGTGAAGAAGCACTTAAAGAAATGCTAGGTGTCCTTAGTCATCCAGGAAATGCAAATCAAAATGACCCTGAGATTCCACCTCACACCCATCAGAATGGCTAAGACCAAACACTTAAGGGATAACACATGCTGGAGAGGTTGTGGAGAAAGGGGAACCCTCCTCCATTGCTGGTGTGAATGTAATCTCTGCTTTGGAAATCAATCTGGCACTTTCTCAGAAAATTAGGAATAGCGCTACCTCACGATCCACCTATACGACCTCTGGGCATATATCCAAAAGATGCTCAACCATGCAACAAGGGCATTTGTTCAACTATGTTCATACCAGCTTTGTTCATAATCTCCAGAATCTGGAAACAACTCAGATGTCCCTCAACTGAGGAATGGATACAGAAATTGTGGTACATTTACACAATGGAATACTACTCAGCAATTAAAAACAAGAAAATCACTTTGAAATCACTTGAAATTTGCAGGCAAATGGATGGAACTAGAAAAAACCATCTTCCTTTTAATAATTAGCCTCTAGATTAGACACTGGCCATAGCTTTGCATTCTGAATATTATTTCAGTCTTTCACATGTACTAAGAACACAAAACATTTTCCCCAATGGGAAATTGTAGAAAATATTTCTTTTCTGTGTGTTTGTTTTGTTTTCTATAAGGCAGAGTGTTAAATGGAATGATTTTTAGAATACAACACTTATACTTTCCTTTCAAATCAAATAGTGATTTTCTAAGAAAAGTGCAACTGTTTGGTAGCAGCTGATTCACACAAACAGGAAATCATAGAGCTCATCAGAAAGAAAAAACACAAATTCATTTGTTTCTTACTAGTTTCTTTCTAAACTATTTAGCCCTGCTAGCCTGAGACTAGGTAATCCAAGCAGATGTTGATCTGGTATTACTGTCTTGTGTCACCATACCTGGCCTCAGAGATATGTCCTGGGGAAGGTAGGAATATAAACATAAAATGTGTATATATAAATGGTGGATATGCATGCCTGTATCACAGTTTATGTGGAGGTCAGAGGACAACTCCATGGACTTGGCTCTCTCCTTCCACCTTTACAGAAGTTTCTAAGGATTGAATTTAGGTTGACAGGATTGTGCAGCAAGCACAACTACTTACTAAGTCATCTTGCCAACCCCCAGCATATATTTTTCACTCAACTTAACAAATACACTTGCAGGTTTGAGTAAAACTGATAAGTATCTACTGAAAACATTTTACCTCATATAATGAAATTACACTTTATTTTAAAAAATTCTAATTTTTCAGGCAACTGACTGGGGAACCTGGGCCTCTGTGGTCTGTGCTCCAGGGCTCCACCACTGAGCAACACATTTCACGCACTTTAAGATGTCAGAGGGCAACATGGAGCTATTGGTTGAGAAATTTAATACCTTGCCCCAGCACTCACCATCTTGACTCCTATTCAAGTTGTCTGAGGTGCAAAACTTTCTGAATGTAAGTATGATTTTCCTCCTATTGGTTACCCTCTGTGAACAGAACTTGCATGTGTGTCTATTGTAATTACCCCTTCACTCCAAAAAGTTAAAAATTAGCACTATACTTTAGCCCCCATGTCACAGAATAAATAAATCTGGTTCCATAAGAAGCAATATGTGAGCACTATGTGACGCCATAAAAAATAGTCAAGGATGTGAATTTCTAATGGGGATCGGAGTACAGGGCTACGAGACTGTGAACATTAGGCTTCAAGGAAGACAGAACAGTGGGGTTTGGGTTAATGCCCAGAGAAGTCCCCTAATGGGATTTATTTTCTCTTCTTTTAAATTTAATTTTCAAGAAAACTATTTATTAATAATATCCTCATTCAAAATTATCTGTCTTAAAAGAAAAATTACAATAAATCTTAAACTGTACCCAACACACTGGCGTACTGTAAGTGCAGCATGTCATGAAACACACATTTCCGTAGAGATCAGATCACATTTTAAGGTTGGAGAATTAACCTTTAAGAGGGAGTAGCAACTGTAACGCTAACATAAAAACAATACTGTTATGTCAACAGAGCTATAAGACAAAAGGGGAAAGCTGAAAGAACAGCCTCATTTCCTGCTTCAAAGTACTAACATCTCGGCTGGGGAGATGGCTCTGTGGGTAAAGAAAGCCCAGCAACTTGTGTTCAATCCCTGGAATCCACACAGCTTCTACACGTGTTCCATAGCACCCCTACCCATCATGTACACACATACACAATGACTAATTTTTAACCCCCCCAACATTTAAAAGACGTAGAAATGGTTTCATTTGAAAGAACACAAAGCAAAGAAGGACAAAGGTCCAAGAGAAGGAGCCTCACCCTGTGGAATTCACAGCTATGCATAAGCCAATGAACAGTTACTGCCTTCTCTTACATACATTTAGTTTCTTTGAAGGTGTGGTGGAATAGTCCATTTCAAAATCTTCAGTGGTCAAAGTCTGAAACTGAACATTTCCAAATCCCTCCAGATAGTTTAACTACTTGTAAAGTAAGTCTTGCAAAGGTGCTGACATAGCCCACGATGCCAGAGCTACTTCATCTCTTTAGGTATCACTATGTCTGCTTTTCCGACAACACATGGCTCCAAGAAATAAAACTAAACTGGTCTTTTCTATCCCCTGGGGATGACAACTTCACAATGCCTTAGCCTTGTATAGTGCTTTACAGTTTTTAAGGTCAACATAGAGGCTTTGTTAGTATGTGTTAGGAGAGAAATGACTCAGATTCTCTTGGCAGAATTACTTCTACAGTACAGGCAGTATAATGGCATAGTCACCAAACTCTGCATTATACTGAAATACTTTTCTCTTACCATATTGTACCAGGCACTAACAATGTACTTCTCCTCCATGTCTCTTTGACTCTTTGTTTTCTCATATTCTTTCTGAAGGAGAAGCACATATAAAGATACAAATGAATTCAACATTAAGAAAAATAAACAACTAACTGTTTAAACCTGAGTACAATTGTATAACATAGCAAGACACTCTGAAAAAGCTAAAACCCTCAGTATTTTACTGCACAATGTAGTGACTGACCTCTAATGAGTGAAACAGCCGATCCCGTTCTTGTAGTTGGTTTTTAAGAGCTTGTATTTCTGGTGCTGCTCCTTGATTCTGTTTAGGGTCTAATGTACGGATAACCTGCGGGGGGGGGGGGGGAATCTTAAGCATATGTATATATTCACACACATAACCTACAAATTAAAAGAAAAACAAACCCCTGAATCTAGCATCTAAGACATCAGTTTTAGAAATAAAGCTAAGGCTGGGAATACAGCCCAGGGGTATAGTGCCACCTAGCACACACGGGGCCTGAGGTTCAATCCCCAGCACTGCGGTAGGGGTCAGAGAATTAAATTACTGAAATGCACATATAGCTATAGCTATCACTATCTTATCATGCATGAAGATCTGTCTTTGATTCCTAGCACCCCCACCCCAATCAAACTAAGCAGAAGAGAAAAATGAGAAAAATAACACTCATAAGCTATTAAGGACAGTTAAAAATGTACACATATGAAGTAAAATGAAATTGCTGCAAATTTCCAGTGATATAGACAGAAGAATCAATTCTGGATCAGTGAGCATTGCTAACGAGATGCTATTCACAACTCTTGTCTGCTCTATCTCAGCTAACACTGGACATACAGACAGAAAGGCACACAAGAGTGAATCCTAAATAGGCTGTCAGTAGTACGGTTGAGGCATGAACAGGGGATACACTGTAACCTGACTCAAGGCAGGATTTCTGGGACAAAGGCCATTTTGTTCTATGCCAATAGTTTTATTATTAAAATGTTCAAACACATAGACCTTCAAACAGTTCAAATCCTTTTATTTTTTAACCTGGATTTACCAATTGCTATTTTGCTATTTATGTGTTTCTCTAGCATGAATGCATGTGTATCACCTGCATTCCTGGTGCCCATGGGAGCAAGAATGGCCACAGGAGGCTCTGAAGCAGGGGTTACTGGCAGTTGTAATCTGCCATGTGGGTGCTGAGAACTGAACCTGGGTCCTCTGCACAAGGAGCAAGTGCTCTTAGTTGCTGAGCCATCTCTCTAACCCCTAACATCTCTTAAACTCAATAATTCAATGTTTCTGTGTCATGGCACTGTCACACATTTATATTGCTCACTATACTTTGCTCTTGGACAAGCGAGATGGCTCAGTGGGCAAGAGTGCTTGCTGGCAACCCGAGTGCCAGCCCTGGAACCCACACGGTAGAAAGAGAGAAGTGACCCTTGCACCTGTTCTTACTTGTTCCTGCCTGTTCATACATACATGCCACTAAGCTTTGTTCTTTTCTTTCATGTGTTGTTAACTCCATACTTCTACAGTGGTGGCTGTCACTTATTTCTTACATAAGATACATTATTTTTTTCTTGCTAATCAATTTGTGGAGTGACCTATTTTTATCACTAATTCTTATTTGGGATCTTTATATACTTAGAAGGCCTCTTTGATCATTTTCTGTAGAAGAACATAATATTATATGGCTCCTATAACTTTAGGCTAGAGGAAAACATCATTGGAAAATAGAGTGAGATAATTTCAAGGTCATACTCACACTTTTGGCTTTCTCTAAATATTTTTTATAGCGTTCTTCCATTTGTTTCATTTCTTCTTCTTTCTTCCGTAAAGCTTCTTGCAGTTCTTCAATTCTTAAGGCTTAGATGACAGTTAAAAAATTAAAATTTAATAACATTATATTTTAAATTATTTATTAACAAATAATAAATACATTCTGAGAGATTGATGGTCTATTCTTATATATATAATTTTTTCTTTAAAATAATTCATATTTTTATTTTACCAAGTTTCTCTAATAAGTAAACAAAGGCATCACTATTAAGCTACATAAAGGAAAATGTATCTATTGATGGATGGATGAATAAACAATATATTCATACAATATGATCTTTTAAAGTCTAAATTCTGATGCATGCCACAGTAGAGAGACTTAACGTTAAGTGAAAAAGAAAGATATTATGCCTAGTGAAAAAAATGAGGCAAGAAAGTACAAACATGATTCTACTTGTGTAAGTTTCCTGGATTGTTAAGCTCAGAGGTATAAAGTAGCAGATATCAAAGGATTAGAAGGAGGAATAGTTCCATTTGAGAGGGACGTAATGATTTTACAGGTGGGTAGTGAGTTACACAACAATGTATTTAGTTCTACTATACTGTATTCTTAAAATGGTTACCTGTTACTGTATGTATTTTGTTGTATCTTAAAATTAAAGTCTGCCACTTCATTTTCATAAAAACAAAATTAAACTAACTGCACTTAGAGATACCAAAAGAAGTATATGTCTAGGGCTAACTTATGCACAATTACACTGAAGGTATTTGGCTTCGTATAATATCCATTAACAATCCACAATTAAAGAAGGTTTCATAAAATGAGTACTTTAAGACATACGGCACATTCTTAAAATGTGACTATCATTTTATGTGTATGTGTGTGTGTGTGTGTTTGTTGTGTACTTGTGTTCAAGTGCCCACAGGATCAGAGGCATCATATCCTTAGAACCAACTGACATGGGTGTTGGGAGCCAAACTTTAGTCTCCTGCAAGAGCAGTAAGAGATCTTAGCTGGTGAGCCATCTTTCCAAAACCTGACAAATTCTTTTGTAAAAAACAAATTCTTAAAAAAAAAAAAAACCCTACTTTTTATTTTTATATTTTAAACTTATGCACATGTGTATGTGCCTGTGTGAGTACATGTCAAATGTGTTTGGGTACCATGGAGGCCAGAAGAGGGTATTGGATTCCCTGCGATCGAGTTACAGGGGTTGTAAGCCACCCAAAGCAGGTTCTGGAACTCAAACTCATATTTTTCTGGAACTACAGCAAGGCCTCTTAAATACTAAGTCATCTTCTCTAGTCTTTGGCCCTTTAAGGAAAAGTCCTAATTGCTAGAATAGCTAAAAGGTTCATTCAAAAGAAACAAGTTCCTTGTTTTCTCCCTCCTCTGATGTCTGTCCCATTTGCCCTTCTGAATAAGGACTGATCCTCTTACCCAGGATCCTCTTTCTTGCTTAGTTCTTTAGGTGTACAGATTTTAGTATGTTTATCCTATATTATATGTCTAATATCCACTTATATGTGAATATATAACATATGTGTCTTTGTACTTCTGGGATACCTCACTCAGGATGATCTTTTTTAGTTCCCACCATTTGCTTGCAAATTTCATGATTTCTTGTTTTTAATTGCTGAGTAGTATTCCATTGTGTAAATGTACCACAATTTCTGTATCCATTTCTCTGTTGAGGGGCATGTGGGTTGTTTCCAGATTCTGGCTATTATGAATAAAGCTGCTATGAACAGCCAAACTTTGGGCAGAGTGCAGGGAATCTTATGAAAGAAGGGGTAGATAGAAAGACCTGGAGGGGACAGGAGCTCCACAAGGAGAGCGACAGAACCAAAATATCTGGAGTCTTTTCTGAGACTGATACTCCAACCAAGGACCACACATGGAGATAATCTAGAACCCCTGCACAGATGTAGCCTATGCCAGCTCAGTGTTCAAGTTTCCCTATTATGGGGAGCAGGGGCTTTCTGGCATGAGCTCAGTGGCTGGCTCTTTGATCACCTCCCCCTGAAGGGGGAGCAGCCTTCAGAGGAAGACAATGCAGCCAGTCCTGATGAGACCTGATAGGCTAGGGCTAGAGAGAGGGGAAGAGGACCTCCCCTATCAGTGGACTTGGGGAGGGGCATGGGAGGAAATGAGGGAGGTAGGGTGGAATGGGGAGGGGACCAGGAAGGGGACTTCAGCTGGGGATATAAAGCGAATAAAGTGTAATTAATAAAAAAAATAAATAAATTGAAAAAGAAACAAGTTATATAAATTCATTATCTCTAGAATAGTGTACGGCTAATGATGCTATTAGAAAAACTCACAGCTGTTGTTAAATCTTGGCTCAAGATCTTCAATAATGGCTCTCTTTTTCTGTAATTCATTGTTGGCTTCATGCAGCTTCTCTCTGCAACAAAATATGTGACTACATTATCACTTCTGGTTTTGCATTTGTTTCTCTTTCGTGTGCTGGAGATCTAATTTAGTACCTTATACGTGCTATACAAGTTCTCCACCTCTGAATACACGCTCAGCTCTTGTTTCTGTATCCTTTTTGCATTTTGAACTAAGAATTTATTATATTTAGAATATACTTGTTTTTTTCTAATATACTTGTATTACACACAAGTACTATGAAACAAGGATAAACAGACTAAAGTTAAAGAAAAACACTTCTTTTGGTTTGAAACAAAAATTTCTTTTACACAAAAAAAAGCATGAGAATTTTGATATTTTTAAATTAAATTTCAAACTCTGAAAAGCTTTTTAATGCAAAATCTTGTCATCAAAGGCAAATAGCCAAAAACAAAGATTAACATTACTGAAGATACAGATACACACAACATGAACAGATCTCACAAAATAGTAGACAGCAAAGGAAGTCAGGAATTTATGATTCCATTCATAACAAACATAGCTTCAAAACTAAAAAAAGTGATGAAGATTAGTGCTGTGGTTAATACAGATATGTAGTCAATCAACTGGGAGGAAGAATGGTGAATTCTGTTAAATGTTGACCTAGATTATCTATGTATGAAGGTAAATATTCACCAGCCTTTATGTTTAGGAAAATTACTATATAAGTTATATTTTGATAATAATAATAATAATGTGATGTATAATGCACATCCTCTAAATTATTCATTGTAGCACTATGTAATATGTGTAAGACTGATGGCTAAAGAAAACAACAAACAACAAACCAAAAACCAGTAACAACTAAGCATTTTGTTATGTCTATTTCTGCCTTTCCCAGATTGTAATACCATAATATTTCCTCCCTGGCTTTTTAGAGACAGAGTCTCACTATGTAACTCTGGTTGATCTGGAAATCACTGTGTAGGTCAATCCAGCCATGAACTCAAGAGACTCACCTACCACTGCCTCCCAAGTGCTGGGAGTAAAGGCATCCACTGCCACACCTGGATCCTTCTCTTTTTTAATAAATTACTTTTATATGCACACATATCTAAAGCAATAGAATATAGGACACATATCTAACATATATACATGTTATAGGTAGATATAAGAAAATATTCTATATATACATATATAGACTAAAATAAGCACAGTGAACAGTCAAGAGGTTAAAAACCAAAATTCACCCTAAAACCTTAGGCATTACACCACTACCTTCTTCCTAGGGGTAATCAGTGTCCAAAATCATAAGTGCTCTCATGTTTACATGCTGGCTTACTGCCTTTGTCTTACTCCTAGGACACAGCATTATCTCTACAAGCTTAAGGTATACACAGTAAAACTGATATATTATAGGGTATGTACATTTTTCAAGTTGAAGAGGTTACTAAGCAATACTCTCTCTAGTCAGTGAGAATTCTCATTACTGATTTAATTTTTATAACTAATTTGATGTGTTGAGAATGGCCTCTTGTACAGTTCTAAATCTGTATGCGACTACTGAGAGGTCCTATGGCGAGTTGAATTGTCTTCCAGAAGGTGAGTTCTAACTCTAATGTTGTGATTGTGACACCATTTAGAAACGGCATCTTTGTATACATACTTAACAGGAGGTTGTACTGGGCCAGGGCACACTCTGAGCCCAATTCCTGTTGTCTAACAGGAGGACCCATGTTTCTTCACTGTGGTTTTGCTCTCCACGGTTCCAGTTGCTTATGGCAACTGGAGTCAAACTATTAAATGGGAGCCTGAGACAGAGTGAGTGCGCTGTAATTTACATGAAGCCCTGGGTTGCGTGATAAACTTGTATTTGGTCCTGCTGTATCCTGCCTGGTGTATGACTTATCCCTAAGTCATGCATATCCACACTGTGTAGGTTATCCAGCACTAGTCCCTTAGTAACCATGTTGGTTATTAGAACAACTGTTTTAGGATATTGCACAGTCATATAGAAATATTATTAAGCGATTTATCAGAGGTATTTATCTATAAAAAACAAAAGAGAAAATGTAGACTTCAGAACTATCAGTGATTTCAGGCATTCACTGAGCATCTTGGCAGAAATCCTGAGGAAGAGGGAGGCACTACACAGAAAGAATGTCAAGTGAAAACAGAGGCTGCCTATGGAGCCATGGACTGCCCCTGGCTGCCAGCGTGGGTGTGCTGGGCAGACTCTGCTCCTCAGCTGCCAGAAAACAATCTGTGGACAAGTGGACTTCAAATTTATTGGCTCTATAACTGTGAGAAAATAATTTTTCTGTTCTCTTAGCCACTTTATTTTGTGCTAATTTTTTGAAACAGACACAAGAAACTAATTCAAGCTCCATCTTCACTAGAGGATCCTACCAGATTTTTATCTGTGAACACCTGAATACACAATGATGGGTGACAGATTTCTGGTCTGTAATATTCAGTTTTTGTCAAAGAGGAATGGAAAACACAAAGTATAAGATTTGGTACTGTGTTCTCATTCTGGGTAATTTCACAAAGATTAGAAAGCAGCACTGTTCTAGCATACTAAATATCTATTATTAGACTTTCTAGAAATCATAGTGGCTAGGAGTCTATCACATCTAGTATATTTAAACAATTAGATGACATATATAAAAGATTAAGAAATAGAGTAACTTTCTAATCATAGAAGAAAAGTCAAATTTACATCCTACACTTAATACCTGCAAGCATTTTTGCTGGAAAATAATAGATTTAAGGTAGTTACTGGGATGAGAAAAATTATTAAATATTCCTAATACAGTAAACTTCAGCTAAAAATGATTTTTTTCCAAAAGAAATCAAAGTTAACTTTAAAATTTTTATTTCATCTTTTAAGTTACAAAGTCCTACTTAAGACGACTTATTTTATTTGAAGGCCTATTTGAAAATATGCTACCGACAAGCATATTTTTGATATATTTGATATCTTTCACACATCCGATTTAACTATGGCTCAGGGAACATGGAGTAACAGGGGAGTGGAAATACTCTAAGAGCTAGAGAAACAGGACATCCATTTTAATATAGTGTCTTCCACAAAAAAAAAGACATGAAGTAGAGTGGGGTAGGGAGAAGGTATTAGGGGAAGGAGTATGGGATGGTAAATATGATTAAAATTCATTGTATGAAATTCTCAAAGAACTAATCAAACTATTTATAAAAAGTTGCTGAAAGATGAATCTATGATTATAAACCATAGCCTATCAGGGCCTTATATGAAGTTCTACAGCAGCACAGTCCTAACTACTAGTTTTAATATTGTTTACAGCTACTTTTAGCTGAGTGGCCGCAACACAGGGCAGAACTTACACAACTTGAAATGATTACTCTCTGCCCAATCACAAAAAAGGCTGAGACTTTTGATTCAGCATCTCATACAAATACTACAACAATGATATAAAGTCCTGAAGTTTCAACTGAGAAAACAGCCCTAAAACTTTTTGTTTTGTTGCTTTTTTTAAGAAGGCGTTTCACACTGTTGCCTAAGTTGGCCTGAAACCAGGAGCAGGTCTATTTGTTTCCTGTCTCATCTCTTGATTGAGGTGTGAGTCACCATGCCCAGCTTACAATGACTGGATTGATGTGCGGGATTTGAGTAGAAATGGTCCTATCTGTAGACACTACAAACAGGCAGTACTTTCCTGTATCTTCAAGGGCCACTTTTGCCACTGCCTACATCCTCTGTACCCACAATGCAAAGTACTTTGGTTCTTAATGTGAAGAGCCTCAACAAGTTGTCTACTTACAGATGTTCTTCAAGCTTCTTTTTTAGAAGAACTGACTGAAAGTGAAAGAAAAAATTAGATCATTAGTTAACATTTTAACTAACAAATTATTTTGTAAAAATTAAAGAGTAAATTACTTGGAGTAAGCTCTCAATAATTTTTTTTTGGTCAAAGAGCTCATAACCCAGTGTACCTCAACTTGCTCCTCTTCAGTAAAAGCGAGCAGCCCGGAAGGGAGAACAGTCAGTAGGAAGTGCACAGAAACTATTCATTTCTCAATTTATACAAAGGAAATAAATTTAAAAGCTAGTTATACAGAGACCCAAATAATTCTGGACTCAGTATCCAAGTAGTACTCTAACAATAATACATTTTTCCTACACTTCTTTCTTTGCAGTATGATAAAGTCTCAAAATTTGTTGTCATGTTTTAATTGATGACAAGTACTATATTTGATGTCCTGGGAAAGAGAAAGGGTACAATGTTAAGATGTCAAGAATGAAGTTTTGACTGGGTATTTTTTAAAAAAGTCTCCTGAAAGCAGAAAGTTGAAACTTATCTAAAAAAGTAATAAAGACATTTTAAAAAAAGACCACCAAGTTTCATAGTTTAACCCTTACAAGGGTTTTTGAATTTTTGAATTATGTGATGACACTCAAAACCAATCAATGTAGGCTTATAAAACAAATTGCTTAATTGCCTAATAATAGCACCAAGGAGAAGGAAAATATCTTAACTTTATACTTGCTCTGTTTAATGATGATTTACTTATGTCCACCTACTTCTTGCCATTTAGGAATGTCCTGGAACTCACTATGCATAAGGCCAATTTGGCCTTGAACTCATGACCCTCCTCCTAAATGTAGGAGGTGCTGGGATTTCAGATGTGTATCACCATGGTGGATTTTATTCAAGTCAATTGTAACATAGCTTTAGAATATTTCAAATTCACATCTTTCTCAACATTGTAACTGTAATTAGACCAACATCCTCTACCACTATTTTCCCCAAACCTACAGAAAGAAAAAAAAAAAAAAAACACCTTACTAGCTTTTTAATATTTATTTATTTTAAAATAATTATTATTTGTTCTCTTTGTGGTAAGAGGATAAAATGGAAATACTAAAAATGCTTGACTTTATGTTTTGATTAACTAACAAATTATTTTAAATTCTTACAATTTATAGCAAAATAATTAAATACAAGGCTAATATGCCAGACACCGCACTAAAGCCTGTTATATACATTATGTAAATTTCACACAGTAATATTAATCTCACTGTACAACTGAGCAAGCTAAGCTAAGCACATTTAGTAATTTAAGTAGCACACTGAAGATTAAAGTCTGGGATGGCAGAGACCCGAAACCCTATCCATAGTCTCCCTTTCTACGCATTCTGTCTTTCAGTGTCTTTCCAAATTGAAGACTATTAACTATCAAGATATGTGGCTGGAGACTAGATTATAAAAAGAGCTTGTGTCAAAATAAGTTATACAAATGAACTAATTATAAGGGGCAGAGCAGGAGTGAAACAGAAGGAGAGGATTTCTTTATTAAGATTTTTATATACTTTAAGAATGTTCATTGTAAAGAGCATATACTTATAAAGCAAGTAACATTAGCATATTCATTTTTCATGAAGTCCTACTTCAAATTTCAGTATCACTGACTATAATATCAGATAAAATATACAATCTAAAAACCGCTAAGTATATGGAAATGAATAGAAAGCCATACTTACAATAGCCTTGAGCAGAAACCATGCCAAGAGACAGAGAGGACATATTAGTATGAAGCAAACACAGCGGCCAAGAGAAGGAACGATTTAGTAATTCATGAACAGAAGTAAAAGATATGCAATTTTTTTCAGAATTGTACATTTTTCTTTCTTCTATGGTCTCCTCATCCTGTCTTGTTCTCTGAAGTTTTATATACTGTGGCTAGCTCAAATTATCCATATGACTGGATATAACAATGCATTTGTGCTTCCATGCTAAAAACAAATGACATAAAAATAATAATAAAAATGTGCAGATCATGCTCTGACTTAAGGTTATAAGAAAAGACTGTTTTGATAACAGAAATGGCAACCATTATGTGTTCTTCTTCAAAGGGGAGGAATCCGGTCTAGAGGTTGCTCTATGCATCACATTCCTGAGATGCAACACTAGGTTATTGAGGAGAAAAACAAGAGAAAAACATCAAAAATCTGATGGGGCAAAAGAACTACACACCATGAAATAAGCCATTTCTTTGAAGAATCTAGAATTTCCAAAACAGAGAAAAGTTTCCACCTTAATCTTGTCTGCAGAGAACGTGGCAAAAAAACTTGCTTAAATTAGGGCTAGATATCGTATTACTATGTAGGCAGTTAAAAGGTGACAGTTTATACAAGTATTTGATAGAGCTAGCATCTTACCTCTGAAATATAATCCCCTCAAGCAATGACCCACATATTTAATTAGATTTCTCACAGTGATAACTAACTAGGCTACGCCAAGTTACTTTAAAGAACAACTCCTTACTGTTTTAATTTAAGCAAGAGAACCACACACAATGGTCATGTCTGCACTGCTGCGTTTAGGTAGTTGGACCACTCACCATGCTTACCTCCTGTGTACCCTCTTTTTCTCCACTTCTACCAAAACAAACCCACAAAAGTCACCTCAAAGTACTCAAGACCCAAGTGAATTTTACCTTTTGGTTAAAGGGATCTAGAGATGTCAGCTGAATTAAGAAATGCTACATCCTCTGGCTCACCTCTAAAACACTGCTAATTAAGCTTTATTATTTCACTACACTAATTTCACCTCTTTGAGATTTGTCATTTTTAAACATGTTTTTGTTTTTGGCTTGTTTGTTTGTTTTAATCCTGACATTGGGCTATGGGTATGCCTTGATAGTAGAACACTTGATTTGAACCCCAGGACTTCAAAGAAGCTTGGCATTTTATACTACTTACATGCTAATAAAGGCTAAAAACAATATTAAAAACGACAGTAGTTGTGAACTGATCTGGGAAACTAAAACAATTACCAGCTCATTAAGAAATAAACTAAATTACAAATCAGACAAGCACAGTAGCAATCTAAACAAGATATGCAGAGAAACTTATAAAACTAAGTCTGAGGCCTCAAGAGCTTTTACATTGAACACTCCTAGACTTTAAAAATAATTTAACTGTCTTTTGTTTTCAGATGCTCCTATGTTCATAAGGTTGGAGGAGCTTTCCTCCGACTGACTGCGTCAGTGGAAGCAATCTGCGAGGTTTAAACTCAAACGTCTGGGACTATAGCAAACTGCACTGCAGCAGAAACAAGGCTGCTCAATTAACATTTAACTTCCCTTTTCTTCACACTGTCCTTAAATAGTGTGCTTTAGTTTTATTGTTTGTGCTTTATTCAATAGGAAGGATTTGTCAATTAGGACTTGTGTTTGGTGCCAACAACTGTGTACTGGGTGCCCTAAACACTGTGGAAGGTGGTTAGGGCATAAAATGATGTAAGTCATTAGCTAAGCTCAGCACAGGCACCATATTCCAGTGAGAATGTGTCAACAGCAAAGGAGAGCTACGACAGAGATATGCACAGTGCTACAAGAATAGAAAAAGGTCAGTGTGGATTCAGAAACTTGGAGATGATAGATACTAGAAATGGCATTGATGTCTTAAATACCAAGTTTATATTAAAACTTTCTTCTTGGGCATGCCTTTGCATTTTTAAATTTTGTTTTGGCCTGAGGGGGAAACCCTTTTACTTCACTGTGAACTGAACACATTTAAGATGTAGAGCTTCAATTTAATATCTTTGTTGATAAATACAAGTGAACTTTTAGTTCCTAGCAGAGTCAATTAAATAGGACTTTTAAGTAAGTAATACCAGTGAAAAAGAAAACAATACTTATTCCCTATAACCAGTTTAACACTGAATATGGGATTACCAAGTAAAAACTGAAGATGGGCCTGAGAGATGACTCAGTGGTAAAGGCATTTGCCACCAATTCTAACTACCTGAATCTAGTTGCTGGGACCCACACGGAGCAAGGAAAGAGGCAACTCCCACAAGCTGTCCCCTGGCCTCCACTCGTGTGGAACACACATGCACACATGGACACGTGCCTCCACAACTTACACACATGCTTTTTTTAAAGTATCAAACTTATAGTTTTTTTTTTTTTTCAGTTTTGTGACTCTTGTGGAGCATGGTTGGTATATATCAGAACTTACATCTTCTGCTTTTGAGCCTTGATCTTGCAAAGACTTTTGTAGTTCTTCTACTTGTGACTGTACTTCTAGAAGTCTCTGATTCACAAGCCTGCAAAGCAAACACATATAAGCTCTCCACATGTACCTCTTTCCCTTGGGAAGTCACAATGAACTCACCAAAAGTGTCACTGCAAACTATGTATTCAGGCTGCAATAGCACAGCACAGTTCCATATCACAAGGAAAGATTACTTGACAAATAATGTTGTTTTATTTAAATGTTCACTTCTGGGCTGGAGATATAGCTCAGCCGGCAGAGTACTTGCCTAGTGTATACAAGCCCTGGGTTCCCTCCCCAGCACTGTATGAACAAGGCACAGAGGCACACGCCTGGGATAAGCAACACTTAGGGGTGGAAGCAGGAGACCAGAAGCTTGAGGTCACCTCAGGCATGTAGTAAGCTTGAGGCCAGGCTGGTATACATTATGAGCCTGTGTAAAAAACCAGAATGAAACAAAAACCAACAACCTCACGTTTGCTTTCCTCTCTCCTTTTTTGTTTTAAAACTATAATACCGCTGTAGACTTCGGGATCTAGAAGACCTGGGCTTTCATTTTTAAATCTGCTAACTGAAAATTACTAAGTATTTTTTGGCTTCAGCATTCTCAGTTTTAAAATGGAACTAATATTACTATTGTAAGAATTACAAAAGGTAAATTATGACATTTTAGTATACTGTCTGGCAGATTAACATATTTACTTAATTGCTACATTATACTTTAGAGTTCCAAATAACGTCTCTAGAAAGGAGGACAAAAAATTACCTCTGTAGATGACAAGATACTATACAAAGACAATCCTAAAGATCTACTAAAAAATCTTTAAAACTGATAAAAAAATTTCAGTTAGGCAGCAGGATAGAAAAATCAACATACAAAAATAGTAGCTTTTCTTTTTTAAAACAGGGCCTCACTACATAATCCTTGCTGGCTTGGAACTCGCCATGTAGACCAGGCTAGCTTGAACTATGAAAGATCCACCCACCTGTGCCTCCTGAGTGCTGGGATTACACAAGTGAACCCTCAAGCCCTGCCAATACTAGTTACTCTCTGTACCAATAATGAACTTTTTCAGAAGGAACCCAGAACAGCAATTCCATCAACAACTGTCACTACCCCTTTACCTGCCAACAAAAAAACCAAACAGTAACAAAAAGCTCAAATCAAAATCCAAACACTTCTAGGAATAAACCTATCTAAAAATGTAAAGGACATCTAGAGTAAAAATTATAAAAGACAGAAACTGAGGATGATTAACAGAAGAAAGAACTTCTTCCATTTGACACATTAGGGAAATTAATGTTGTTAAAATTTCTGTACTATCCAAAGCAATTGCAGATTCAATGCAAATCCCATCAAAATTCTGATGGCATTAACCATAAAAAGAAGAAGACGAATGGTGGTGGCATCATCCATTTAAAAACATTTAGAGAGTACTAGAAACAAAAATAGCACAATATTGAGGTGAAAACAGATCCAACAACGTAAAAGAGGTTCCAGAAATGTATGTTCGGTCAACCAAGTCCTGACAAAAGTTAAAGATACCTGAGAACAAAGAAAACTTTTCAAACTAATGGTTCCAGAAAAATAAACATTTGCATGTAGAACAAGGAACTAGAGCCCTATTGCTCACCTTGTATAAAAATAAATTCCAAATGAGTAAAAGGCCTTAAGATTTGAAATAGTAAGAGCTGGAGAGGATAGGAACCCCACAAGGAGAGCAACAGAACCAGAAAATTTGAACACAGGGGTCTTCCCTGAGACTCATACTCCAACCAAGGACCAGGCATGGAGATAACCTAGAACCCCTGCACAGATGTAGCCCATGGCAGTTCAGTGTCCAAGTGGGTTCCATAGTAATGGGAAGAGGGACTGCCTCTGACATGAACCGATTGGCCTGTTCTTTGATCACCTCCCCCTGAGGGGAGAGCAGCCTTACCAGGCCACAGAAGATGACAATGCAGCCACTCCTGATGAGATCTGATAGACTACGATCAGAAGGAAGGAGAGGAGGTCCTCCCCTATCAGTGGACTTGGGGAGGGGCATTTGTAAAAAAGAGAAAGAAAGGGTGGGATCGGGAGGGGAGGAAGGAGGGGCTTTTGGGGGGATACAAAGTGAATAAAGTGTAATTAATAAAAAAAAAAAAGAAAAAAAGATTTGAAACTCTAAAGTTATTATGAGAAAATTCATGGAAAACATAAGATCACTGGCATAAGCAATAATTTCCTCAATAGGAGTCCAATAATTCAGAAAACAAAAGGAAAGAAGTGACCAGTTAAAATGTATCAAATAAAAAAAAAAAAAAAACATGGACAGAGGTCCTACAGAATGGGAGAAACACTTTGCAGCTCTTCAAAGGACAAGAATCAACATGCAGCAATTCATAACCAAAACCAAGTAACTAAATCATTAAAGAACAGAAAGTCCCCAAATAATAAATGCTGGCAAGTGTGGTTTTTAAGGTTAACTATTTATTAATTAGGTTTATGGGTGTTTTGCCTTAACGTGTCTGTGCATCATATGTGTAGAGTGCCCGCAGATGCCCAAAGAGGGTGTGAGATTTCCTGAGTCTGCGTATAGAGTTACAGATTGTGAATGAGCACACATGTGGGGACTGGAATCAAACCCAGATCCTATGAAGAGTATCAGAGCTCCAACTACTCAGTCATCTTTGCAGCCCAAATGTTGGCAAAGATATAAAAAAATCCCAAATGAACCCTTTTATAATGTCAAGAGTAATGTAAATTAGCAAAACAGCTATAGAAATCTGTAACTAAAAATAAAACACGCCATTTTTATTCAGTCCTTCTATGATAGTTCTTGTGTACGTACACAGAAAAGAGTCAAAGTCAGTACACAACGGAGACAACTGCATACTTCTGTCTGTCATAGCACTATTCATAAAGCTAAGTAATACTAATAGCATACGTGGCCAGCAATGCATGGATAGAGGGAGAAAATGTTGACTAAATACACATTTTACTCAGCCATAAATAATAACGAAATTTTGTCATTTGTAGGATGGAATTGTAGGATATCATGTTAGGTGAAAAAAGGTAGCCACAGAAAGAAAAGTATGTTTTCTCTCATATTTGGAAACTAAGAAAAGGAGGAGGAGGAGGAGGAGAAAGTAGAGGAAGAAGAGGAGGAGGAGGAAGAGGAGGAAGAGGAGGAGGAGGAGGAGAAGGAGGAGGAGGAAGAGGAGGAGGAGCAGGAGGAAGAGGAGGAGGAGGAGGAGGAGGAAGAGGACAGGTGTGAGGCAGACAGGATAGGATGGGTAGCAGGGAATCTGAAAACAGGTATGGTGAAAACATGATATATCTAAGTATAAAAATGCCATCGTGGAAGTCACAGATGTGGGAATTGACATGTGTTAACAACAACAACACTAAGTTATTTGTACAGTATGAAAGCTACCTGTTATGTTTCCAAAGAGAAAAGAACAACAATTATGTTTGGAAGAAACAATATGAAAGAATTGTGGGTGTATTTTTTTCTTTTTCTTTTTAGAGTAGGAAGAAGCAAGCTGGATCAGAATGGTTAAAACACAGAAAGATCAAGGAGTACAACTTAAGATACTTCCACAATCGTCTAGAAGTTCCTTTTCTATACTTTCTACTTTTTCTCAGCTCCTATTGCTGAAGACGCTCCAGTCTGCAGTCCTGGGACTTGGAAGAATCAACCTGGAGCTCACCTGGAAGGCTGGAAAAGCAATCAGTAGTCCTAGCCAGCCACGAAACCTCAAAACCACAATGACAATGACTGGTTTGGTAAGATATCACCAAAGATGCAATACTGGCACCTTTAGCTTGGTGGTAACCAAGAGCTGTATAACTGGTTTTAAGGTCTAGTCAATATAAGGGAACCCACACTGTAAACCCAGGCAACTACCTGTTGCTAAAGAGGTCACAGAGGAGAACCTTCGGGTGCCATTTTTCTAAACTAATTAATTTCTAACTCTGTTCCTATCCTTACAGATAAGTAAAGCCTCTCACCTTATTCCAAGAAGCGTCATTGTTTTGCATTAGAAGGAGACTATTACAGTGGTCCACAAATGATCAAGTACAGAGAATAAATGGTCACGAAGTGCCCAACCCCAGTTAGTACATCTACAATGCAACCCATGTATGTAAGTAAGGTTCAGGTTAAAGAGGGGATTGAGAGATTTTAAGTGCCAGAAGAGCAGGATGCCTTCTGTGATACAGGTCTCCCATATACTACATTTACACACCCATGAAATCCTCTATACACTGAAATCTCAACAATATGGTTGCCTAAATAAGACCTACATAGTAATGCCACACCAACTAACATGCCATTTTGGCTGAAAGAAATCTCACAATGCCTCACCCCTAGAAGATCTACATGCAATCAATGCTGCTGAGAAAGGGACAATTGGTTTTCTTCAGGAAAGGCCTCCACCCCCACTAGGTTATCCAATCCCAAGTGGGCAGCTTCAAGCATTTGTACACAAGAGCAAATACTAAACGAACTCAGTAGACTTACATACAAATACGTAACAACAGTGATTATAGAAGACATCATGAATTTGAAAAGGCGACATGGTAGGCAATGGAGATGGAAAAGAGAGGGTGGTGGGAAATGATGTAAACACAGTATAGATATTGTATAAAATTCTCAAAAAAGAAAAAAAAATTAAGGTGTTGGAGAGATGACTCATAGTTAACAGTACTGGCTGCTTTTCCTGAGGACCTGGGTCCAATTCATCAATTTACATGGCAGCTCACAACCAGTCCCAGGGAATCTGATGCTCTCTCTGGCTTCCGTGGGCAACGCATGCACAGACACACCAGCAAACACCCATCCACACACAATGAAAATAAGTCTTCAACATTTTATTTTTAAAAAAGCATTTACTCTGTGTTGTTAGGTGCTCACACACATGCTCCCTGAGCATCATGCTTACTGATGTTCTTATAATCACTGCAGCATCTCTGTCCCTTTGTATTGACACCATTTGTACTGCTTCCACAGCTTTCACACTTAATGTTACACTAAGGATAAGTAAAACCATCCCATCAATCTGACTCTCCCTGGGAAAATGCCATACCAATGACATCGGCATAATGAGCAAAACAGGCAAATAATACAAATGCCAGCTCTAAAAAAAAAAAAAAAAAAAATACAGTTTATCACAGCAGCAAGGAAACAACGACAAAACAGTTACATTTGTCAGTTAAGAAAGCTGATATGGTAGAGCATAGCTTTAATCCGTACTCTGGAGGTAGAGGCAGGCAAATCTCTGCGTTTGAGGCCAGCCTGATCTACAGAGAATTCTGGGTAATCCAGGGCAAAGGAAGGAAGGAAGGAAGGAAGGAAGGAAGGAAGGAAGGAAGGAAGGAAGGAAGGAAGGAAGATTTCCCAATAGGAAAATGAAAGAAAGTCATAATAAAGTATAAAGTCACCACCAGAAGGGCTAGTTTTATAGTAACTGACTCTGAAGACTGACTCTGACTCTGAATGTAACAACATTAAGACAGAAAACTTACAAGCAGAAAAGCAATTTTTTTTTGTTACTCTGATATATTCTGATTTTCAAAATAACTCTTTTTAAGGTCATGACAAATAATACATGAGGGAAAAAATATGATTTAACGCCTCACCAGCTGACCCTTTCAAACATTAGCCTCTGACAAGAGTTCATCAACTATGAACTGCAATTGCTATGAAAAAGTATGACTGCATCAGATATATTTTTAATCCTCTCCATATTTTTTTTTTTCAGCCAGGAATGGTGGCACAGGTCTTTAAGCCTAGCAGAGGCAGGCCAGTCTCTTTGAGTTTCACGCTAGCCAGGGCTATATACTAAGACCCTGTATCAAACAAATTAAATAATCTTAAAAAGAAATATAATAGCTAAACAAAGATGACAGCAATGGACATGCCAAAGCGGATGGGAAAAGCCCATGAGGCCTCAGCATTACACAATGAACTGCCGGCAGCTGAGCAAAGCTGGGAGCAGGAGAGGCAGCCCTGCAGGGAAGAGCACACCAACTGGCTGTACAGGGACAGAAGTTCAGCCCTGAACACATACAAACAGCTAACATCTAAGAATGAGCAGGTTATTTAGGAACAGAAATGTACAAACATACGCATCTATACATGCAACAACAATGAAAGAAGAGGCCATGGATTTGGCGAGCAAGGAGAGAACTTAGAAAAGGGAAAAATAAGAACTGTTGTAATTATATTAATTAAAAAAATACACTACGATGTAATCATTTTCCCAATAAATCTCAAGCCTTTCTTTAAAACTACCAAATCAAGGCTCAGAGGCAGGGCTGTGGCTGGCCGCTCCGCCTGCTCGCTGTACCTGTTCTCTGTCTCCAGCTCATTCTTGCGCAGGTTTGCATCATCCAGAAGGCTCTGCAATAAGGCGATTTTCTCATTGTCTGACCCTTCCTGATTGATTTTTAACATCTTATTCTCATGCTGAAGACGAATAAGTTTCTCCCTAAATGAGAAAAATAAAAGCCGATTATTTGATTCATTCAGACACTCTATGAATCATCATCCAACTAAGATATAGTTAAGAGTTTTAATTCACAAGATACATATGAAAAACTAAGTGCATGCAACAAATTCAGTGCCTTCATGAATGCAAAAGCTATCACCTTTAAGAAGTAAACTCCTTGTAGAATGTATCATTTGAGGAAACAGTTCCTATGCATCATGACCAGGGATGAGGAAAGTTGCAGATGCTATTTCTTTTCTTACTTAAGTACTTGAGCTACAGACACACGGCTCTAACTGCATAGCGCACGATGACAGCTGCTCAGAGTCTCCAGCTCTGTGCATTCACACAGTCAAAGGTTTGTTACGGAAAAGAAAAGGATCAAACACTATACTTTCTACTTGCTAACTCCACTTAGGATTCTACAAGCTTTTAATATTATAGCTCAAAAGTTTAGGGGCTGGAGAGATGGCTCAGAGGTTAAGAGCAATGGCTGTTCTTTCAGAGAAACTGGGTTCAATTCCCAGCACCCACATGGCAGCTCATAGCTGTCTATAACTCCAGTTCCAAAGGAACTGACACCCTCACACAAACATACATGTAATATACATGAAATAAAAGTAAATTATAACTAAGTGACATAGAACTAAAACATATAAATCAATTATTACTTGTTTAGGTAATACATTTCAAGCTTTTAATAATTTTTTTTCGAGACAGGGTTTCTTTGTGTAGCCCTAGTTGTCCTAGAACTAGCTCTGTAGACCAGGCTGGGCTTGAACTCACAGAGGTATGCATTCACCAAATTTCATTTGTTTCCAGATGGCGAAAAGTAAAAGAAACATGAGGGGCTGATGAGATGGCTGACAGCCCGAGTTGTAGTCTAGGATTTCAAGATGGAAAGAGAGATTCAAGTCCCCGCATGTGCATGCGTGTGCGTACACACACACACACACACACACACACACACACAGTGTAACATTTAAGATTCTTCCAGAATTAATGCTATATTATACTCCTTTATTTGGTACTTCTTAAAGATCTAGCTATACCACTCCTGGGCATATATCCTAAAGATGCTCCACTATTCAACAAAGACATTTGCTCAACTATGTTCATAGCAGTTTTACAGAATCTGTAATCAACCCAGATGTCCCTCAATGGAGGAATGGATACAGAAATTGTAGTACATTTACACAATGGAATACTACTCAGCAATAAAAAACAAGGAAATCATGAAATTTGCAGGCAAATGGATGGAACTAGAAAAGATAATCCTGAGTGAGGTAATCTAGAAGCAGAAAGACACACATGGTATATACTTACTTATAAGTGGATATTAGCCATGTAATATAGGATAAACATACTAAAAGCTAGTCCTAAAGAAGCTAAACAACAAGGAGGACCTTAGGGAAGATGCTTAATCCTCATTCAGAAGAGCAAACAGGATGGACATCAGAAGTGGGAGAAGATAGGGAACAGGATAGGAGCCTTCCACAGAGGGCCTCTGAAAGGCTCTACCCAGCAGGTGCCCAGTAGGTACCCAGCAGATGCTGAGACTCATAGCCAAACTTTGTGCAGAGTGCAGGGAATCTTATAGAAGAAGGGGGAGATAAAAAGACCTGGAGAGGGAGAACAGGTCCTTCACAAGGAGACCAACAGAGCAAAAAAACCTGGATCCAGAGGGTCCTGCAGAGACCAATACTCCAACCAAGGATCATATATGGAGAGGACCTAGACCTCTTGCTCAGATATAACCCATGAGCAGCTCAGTCTTCATGGGGGTTTCCTAGTAAGGGGAACAGGGGCAGTCTCTGGCATGAACTAGGTTGCCTGCTCTTTGATCACCTCTCCCCTGGTGAGGCAGCTTTACTAGGCCACAAGAAAAAGAGGATTCAGATAGTCCTGATGAGACATGATAGTCCAGGGTCAGATAGGGGAGGGGGACCTTCCCTATCAGTGGACTAGGGGAGGGGCATACTCGGGGAAGAGGGAAGGAGGGTGGAACCAGGAGGAGATGAGAGAGGGGACTACAGCCAGGATACAAACTGAATAAATTATAAATAATAATAATAAAAAGAAAATTAAATTTAAAAAACTTGAAAGATATTTTTCATTTATGTGTCTGCTTCCCTGTATATGTATTGTGTGTGCAAGTGTCCTTTCACAAGAGGGCATCAGATCCCTTGGAACTGGAGTTATAGGCAGCTGTGAGCTGCCATGAGAGTACTGGGAAGTAACCTCAGTCCTTTGCAAGAGTAACTAGTGCTTTTAAACCACTAAGCCATCTCTCCAGCCCTACTTATTTAAAAGCCAAGACATAATAGTAAGTTCTTTGATTATTTCAGCGAGCTTTCAAATATTTATTTCAAGTTTTTGGACTTATAAAACTTTACACATCCATAATTACATTTATTTCTCTAAAAGATGTCCCCCAATACCAACGAAGGCCAATACACATTTTAAAAGAGTCAAATGGCAGGTATGCTGGCTTATATCCAGAAGAGCTGTAATTCAAGGACAGCCTGGTGACACAACCTGCCTTATTTCAAAGCAACAACACATGCACGCACACTCACATGCACAGAATGATGAGACGGGACCTGATGGATAACACATGATAAAGACAGTGACAACACGGTCCAAAGGGTAAAGGCAATGCTAGGATTAATCATTAACTTCTGTACACTTGGCTCCCCCTCCTCTCACTTTTCACTCAAACACATAACACTAGTAAATGTACTGAAGGACATGAAATCTCTAAGATGCTACATCTAGATAGACAGGAGAGGAATACTGAGGGAAGAGTTTCTCTGCCTGCAGCTCTGTACCTTTACCAGACTATTCCAAGTGGCCAATAGGTAATTATCTTGGGTATTTTCATGCTTGTGCTGAGGCTCTAAGAATGAGATGTGTGAGTTTTCTTCTGCAGTGTGAAAGAATATCTTATTCAAGTGAATATAATTGGTTCTCTGGGCAATTTAAAAAAGCTTCTAACATGCTAAAAACATGGAAATCTAATGCTGAGTTCAGGCTGGTTTGTCCATCCAAAAGAAGTTAGTTTTTATACTGCAAGGACACTATGTGGAGTGACTGTGACAATCAATCTCCTTACCTGATTTCGGGTGTAACAATCTCTGCTGCGAGGCTGTCTGAAGACTCCTGGCTCCCCAGAGGCATTAACCCTATAAACATACAGAGGTAGACAAAGTTATGGAAGCACAGCCGCCTCCTTTCTTTAAGGAATGCCATGTTTGCAGGCAAGCAACACCCTGGGCATGACTGTTTGTTTGTTTTTTTTTTTAAATCTTGAGAGACAGAGACTGGTGGATCTCTGTGAG